GTCTTGTTCTGATATTTCTCCTTCCTTTGATCTCTGTAGGAAAAATAACATTCAGGTCGAGTATGACCTTTTGTTTGACAGTAGTGACAAATGGGTGTGTAATGTCTAACTTTGACAAGCTTATTTTTGAACCTTGAATAATGAGATTGATGGGTTACTTTGGCAAGGTCAGTATCTGCAGTCTGGTCATATCTCCTTCTCTTGTCAATTTTCTGCACTGACCGAGATGACTGTCCTTGTTCAAAGCTGTGAACTGCTGTGGTCTTAAACATACCCTCTTTGACAAACATAGGTGCATTATTTGAAGATTCACCTCGTTCAAAACCTAGACCTTTTTTGTCATTAGGATTTCTGCTAGAGTCTAGAATCTTGTCTAAGGTTGATGTGGTGTCCATCATCTGGATATTTTTCTTCAAACCCTCTAGTTCCTTTATCAGTTTTCCTTCTCTGGATCTTATCTGAGTGATGAGATCTTCTTTTATGACAAGGTCTGTATTCAGTTTTTTTAGAAGATCATCCCTTTGCTTCAGTTCGTCATTCAGATTTTTATTGACTTTCACTAGTTGTTCCCAGCTTGCAACAAGTTTTGCAAATTCTATTTCAAGTTGAGTATGTCTCTCTTCAAAATCATCAGTTGATATGTAAGATTCTTCATCTAATTGGTTTCCGTCTGACTGAATGTCTGTAGCTGTAAAGAAGGCTACACAATTTCCCACATTATCATCTGACTGATCATTGGATGTTTCCTCATCATCATCGCTTAATGTAGCTACTGACATAGCCTTTTTCCTCTTGAGATACGTTGCACATTCAGCCTGTATGTGACCATACCCTTCACATTCTCTACATTGCATTGACCGGTTGAGGGACTTCCCTGTATCTGTGGAACTGTTTCTGTTCTGTCTTGTTCGACCAGTCTGAGATTGATTGTTCTGTGAAAAAGGAGTTGTTTCGGCTTTCTGATATGAGGAGTTATTGCCTTTGTATTGTGTCCTAGTGGGCTGAACTTGACTCTTTCTATTGAAACCTTTTAATATTTTCTTGAAATTCTTGGTTAGAAGTGCCAAAGTTTCATCATCTATGTCGTTTGTGTCAGATTCTCGATCAGCCTCAGCTACAAAAGCCACTGACTTTCCTTTTCTGTTGCTTGCAAGATCATTATCGACAAGCACTTCTAGTTCGTATGTGTGTAAGCTTCCCATAAGTTCTCCGACAGTCTTCTTTTCCCAACTTGTGTGTTCCTGAATAGCAGTTACTTTCATCCGGAAGCGTTTAGGCAAAGATCGAAGGATCTTTTTGACTACTCTCTCATCAGTGAATGGTTCACCAAGAATTGAGGCTCTGTTCATCAGATTCTGAACCCGACTGTGAAAGGTCGAAATGGTTTCCTCTTCATTCATTCTAAGGGCTTCGAATTCTGACAGAACCATTTGTAGCTTTGACTGCTTGACATCACTAGTTCCCTCAAATCTGGTTTCAAGAATTTCCCATACACGTTTAGCTTATTTTACCCCGGTGACAAGAGTAAATACAGATTCATGCAGAGATCCTACAATTGAGTTCAAAGCTTTGTTGTTTAGATCAGAGGCATTCATTTCATCGTCTGTCCAAGTCTCCATAGGCTTATCTCCAGTGGTTCCATCCTCATTCTGAACAGTTGGACGGCTCCACCCAGTTAGGACAGTATGATAAACCCTAGTACCTTGTGCTTTGAGATATATCTCCATGCGAGCCTTCCAGAAAGAGTAGTTGTGACCATCTAGTTCTGGTGGTTTCATACTTGCATCCATCCTGAACAAAAACAACCAGCCAACGAACACACACAGAGGCACTTCCAAAAGACAGAGAACAATGCAAAACTAAAACAACCCGTACGGATCAAGTCACTATGTAGACTTAAAAGCTCTGATACCACATGTAATTTTACATTTTCTCTTTTTAAACAGATAAACTGGATTAATCAACTGACGAAATGGACTGACTGATTCAGCAATGAAGTCAGTCAGTAATAACAAATCATAGAGAAGTTTAAAGACAAGATAACAGCACAAAGCCAACGACACAGAATGTTTACCCAGTTCGATACAATGTGTATCTACGTCTGGGGGACGATCGCATAGATGTCCAATCCACTAAATCATAATCCAATGTACAAAGGTAGATATACAATAATCTTACCCAAGTGCCCCACACAAGGTACATACCCAGTCTACACAGGTTTAGTGGATTGTTGAAGATAGAGAGCCATGCATACAGAAGTCCAATGAAATCCCTTCACTTGGAGAGCCCACTCTGATGCAGTCCACTTCAATGACGCTATTTATAGTTGTTCACACAACAGTGTGATCACAGTGTCCTTTCGTTTAAGCAGCAGTGATTCTTCTCAAGTTCGTCATCTTAATCACCATGAACATCTTGTATTGAGAAGAGGCAAGGTAATCAAAGATCTGATTTCATAAAATTGATGTGGAGTGTTTCTTCTCTCTAAAGACGTAACCCTAATTCTCTTAGAATGAGGGTACTTATAGATCCGTCGATAGAACACTCCTTCCATAGTTGTCTTTGATTGTAGATGGTAGGACAATATTTGAAGAATGCAATCTTAAAGATTCGGTCCATACCTTTCCAAAGCAGATACGCTGATCTTCCATCCAAATCTGTCTTCTGTAACCGCGTACAGCTTTTAAGTAAACAACTTATTAAATCAGATCTTCAGTGTCAGTTCTTCTGTTGTTGCTTCTGATTGATCAGTCTTCTGTAAAGCTGAACGGACACTAAGCTAAACCTATTTTAGTATGCCATAATAATATTGCCAATTATACGATGGGGTTTTTGAACAATTTAAAACACTAACAATATGCAATACAGTTCGCATACATATAATATATACAATACAATTTGCAAATGCAGACGATAGCTTATAATATTATACACAAAGAAATTGAACATATAAGATTGCAAGTATATATTACAAACTTACCGTGAGTGGCGATCAAAGGATTAGATTATTTGTTAAGCTTCAATCTTCAAGGGAGTATTTGGTGATTTAATGGTTGGTTACTTGATTCTTGAAGCGTTTGAGTCGTAAGAAATTAAGAATGAAAGCAAGTCTGAATTCTGAAACCATCTAAATTCCTTAATTAATTAATTCCCATAATACCACGTGAATAAGAATAAAAATTTCCAAATTTCAAGTCTTTTTAGGGTTTTACTTTTTAATTTTCTTTTATATTAATTATTAAATAAGTAAAATAATATTATAACAATGATTCTTAACGGGTTATAAACAGGTTCGTATAAATGGGTTAACACGATAACATTAACGGGTTAAACGGGTGACCCGTTAAGACACGAATCATAACGGGTCAACTTGTTAACGACCCGGAACATGTTAAGGCTAAACACTAACCCGTTATTTTCGTGTCCGATTTCGTGTCGTGTTAACAGGTCGTGTCGATAATTGTCAAGTCTAGGCTGGATACAGATGACTCCCATTGACAAACGACATGAGGCCGTGACCATCCAGGAACGGGACGACTTGAGTCCTCCAAAATAGATAATTTTTGTGGGTGAGCTTAATATTGATAAAGTGGTGAGCAGTAGAAAGTGAATTAACAGCCATGCTAGCGGAAGGCGTGATAGCGGTATCAGAAATGGTTCGTTCGGAGGAGTTAATGGATTCGTCAGCCATAGGAATAAAGAGAAAAATCATAACTTAACTGATACCAAATGAGAACTATATAACTGTATTAGATAAACTGTAACAGGGCGTTTGGTTGGAGAGGGGGAATTACGTGGGAAAGGAATTGCAATTCCATGGGAGATAAATTACTGGGAATAAAGTGGGAATTTAAATTCCAGTGTTTGGTTTACAAGAATAGAATTACTGGGAATTTCAATTCTAATGTTTGGTATACATGGGAATTGAAAGGGAATAAGTAGTACAAAGTCAAAAATGTCCATTGTTGTTGTTAGGCATTAATTTTAGGTTAAAAAAGGAACGGGTAATTTTGACTCATCACCATCTTTTTTTCTTCTTAAAATCCCAGGAATTAAAATTCCAGAGGGGGGACATGGGATTTTAATTACATGAAAATGGGGGAATTGCAATTCCATGGAATTGCAATCCTTTCAACCAAACAAGGGAATTTTGTGTCCTTTGGAATTATGTGGGAATTAAGTGGGAAGGGAATTTAAATACCCTTCAACAAAACGCCTTGTAAGGTTACAACTGTATAGACATGGGATTATATACAAGAGGAATCATATGGAAACTAGGACAATGAGTCATACTAATACTAATCGTAATAGTGGATACATGAACAATAATTCATGAGCCAAAAGCGCTATAACCATATAATTCAAGAGGGAAAACGTGATTTTCCTTTTTTTTTTTTTTTTTTTTTTTTTTTTTTTTTTTTTTTTTTTAACAACTCTACAAGTTCTAAACTCATAAGGAAACATCTTTTCGGGAACAAATACAAATTTTGATCTCACGAGTATTATTAAAATGACAATTTTGGTACACATGTTTTATTCCTACCAAAGTATTATTTAAGACATGTCGAAATTTAAAATTTTAAGGGTGTATTTTTGTCATTTTCAAAGTTAGATCCCAATTTGAGCATGAATAAAATGGATTTAAGCCATAAGATTGATCTCAATTCGCTATTTTCCTCTTCATCCTACCTTAATTTGAGGAGGAGAACTGCGAATTGAGATAGATCTTAGGACTTAATTCCATTTATTCATGCTCAAATTGAGATCGTAATTTGAAAAATGTCAAAAACACCCTTAATAATTTCTTATTTCAACCTATCTTAAATGAATGAGTGATCAACATAATGAATTTTGACACTAAAACAACAGTCGTGAATGAAAATGAGTACTAAAATAATAGTCGATGAAAATTAGTAGAAATTAAACATGTCATTCAAAACTGCCATTTTACTACCAAAATTGGTATTTGCTCATTTTTTGGATAACATGAAATTATCCACACAGAGGGAGGCTAAAGTCGGTATTTCAAAATTTCTACGTCATCTCCCTCCAAAACTTCTGATATTCTAGTTCCCCAGTTTGCTAAAGGCACCGAATCTTGGCTAGGGTTCAGGGTTTTGTAAGAGTGAAAACAATGGGAAGGTACAGAAGCCGGAGTCGGAGCTACAGCCCTGTGAGAAGCAATCGCTACGAGGACCGTCGCGACCGGCGCGGAGACCGCCGTTCCCCTGCTCCCTCTGGCCTTCTCGTCCGAAATATCTCTCTCAAGTCCAGGTCTAATTCTCCTTCGTTTTCAGTTTTTAGATACGTATGCGTGTGTGCCGCAGTGACGATGCAGGCATATACTAGAGCGTATTTAGCCATTGATGTTTTTACGGATTGTAATGATGTAAATGTTTACCCTTTTAAAATAATTGCATTAACAATATTTTTAAGGATGTTTTGGTCTCTGTATGCTTTAAATTCTTGCTAATTACTCTTCTTATACTATCGTTTCGGGCACTGCTAAATTCTAAATGCTTGAGATTTTTTTTTTTTTTTTTTTTTCAAAGGTTCCAGAGATTTTTATGAAGGCATTCCTGATTGTTCTAGCATGCAATCCTTTTACTTTGTACTTCATTTTAATGAACCCTTTTACGCTTTTAATGAACCCTTTTACGCAAAACAAAATGATTATGTTTTTTTAGTATTTTTTGTTAGAAAATTTGAAATTTGATTATGACTTGTCCTTCTGCAGGCCAGAAGATCTCAGAGTCCATTTTGAGCATTTTGGTCCACTAAGAGATGTTTATTTACCAAAAAATTACTACACTGGGTATGTTATGCTCTTGCTCCACTTTCAGGTCATGGTTTAATATGTTTCAGTAGTTTGTGGGTCATTTTCTTTTTGTCTTCTGGTTAATGTTGTCTTACATTTCTATTAGTGTGCTTTTATGTCATTTTGATTAAATGTTCTCCTGCTGGCTTTTGCGTTTATAGAGAACCACGTGGCTTTGGCTTTGTGAAGTTTCGTTATCCCGAAGATGCCGCTGAAGCAAAGAAATACTTAAATCATACTGTCATTGATGGGCGTGAAATTCAAATTGTATTTGCTGATGAAAATAGAAAGACTCCACAGGAAATGCGTAGGCTTTCAAACACAAAGTATGCTGATGCTGTGGCCTTTATTTATTCTTATATTTATTAATATTCCCCTGTATCTCTTGTTTGATGGATCTCAGTGTGCTCTGTGACTCAAACTTGTTTGGTTTTTATGTTATATAGTGGTCGACGGAGCTCCAGAAGACACAGTCCTTCAAGATCACCTCGGCGGAGATATCGCTGTCAGTTTGATTTTGTCCTCCTTTTACTTATTTCTCTGAAGCAAGACACCTTTTAGCATCCTGTTCATAGATTAATACAAAAATTTAATATTTATCATTCTGGTGTAAAAAGGCTGTGTACATGGGACAAAGAAATTTATGAGCTTCATAAGTACATTTCATTTTTCATCTTTCTATGTTTTTGAATATATTGTTATTGTATGCAGCTTCCTGGTGCTTTCTTTGAATGATAATGTTACTTATAGATAAACAAAAATAAATGAATAAAGAAAGCTTTTTAGCATCTTCTTTGTTCAGAAATGCTGATTTGGTAGCAATCAAAACACACACACACTGTGACACACATGTTTATGTATGTATCTATGTGTGTGCTTCCTTGTGCATAAATGTGTATAAGGTGATGGAATCCAATTTTATTTGTGTTTATTGATCAAATAACTTATTATTGCTATACTTATTTATTCTGCTTCTCTTTCCTCAAAGAATAATGGTTTACAATTTTCTGTGGCAGCCTATTCGCGCTCACCCACCCCAACACGACAAGATTTGAGGTCTGTTTATAATCACATAGCAGAAGTTATACTTGCTCTCTTACCTAAATGTCCAGCTTTCCTCTGTCTTCATGTTTTGACTTTTCAGTTTGCAATATTGCTGTAATACTTCTACCCTTTATAAGTACTCTGTGAAAGAAACAACATCTAATCTTTCTTGTGTAGACTGTATTCATCTTTTTGCATGGTTTACAAGGTATTGAAACAAGGATCATGTTAATCATTGTATAGCAATATCTTTTCCTTTGATGGACAATGCTTAGAGACTTCTTTGCTTTTGGTTTATAAAGGCGGATGTGGAATAAGAGCTAAGTTGGTTAGTGTTTCATGTATGCAAATGGTATGATGCCAATATATTCATTTACCTTGTAGGACTGTAAGCAAATCTAGTGCCACCAAGTTATCAGCTAATATATTAATCAAACTTTTGAATGTCATTTTATTATTGGAACTTGAGCCTGCTTTTGAATGTTTGAGCTGGAGTGGGACACTTAGGGGCTAAGAGCAGCTTGGTCACAGCCCTGAGCCTGGCATTTAGATGAGTTCTCTTAATTCTTGATAGTGTTAGGTTCAGTACCCTTTGCTTATGAGCACTACTTGAATTATAATTTCTTGAAGAAATAATTCTAGTAATATGTAGTAAAACTGTGAATCTGTTGGAGGTTAGAATCTGACATCTAGAAATCTACTTTTAATATTTCCTTTTTCTGAGGTTATAGGTCTTCTTGACATCTAGCTGCAGACATCAAAATGAAGTTACAGTTTTATTGGTTTCTTACCTTTTCAACTACATGTGTGTATTTTTGTGTCCTGTGTTGCTAGGATGTTGTGCTTCCCAGTTTAAAGTAGTAATTTTTGTTTTCCTTTATCATTTTCTGTTTTTTCTTTGGTTGATGATAAGCACTAGGAGTTCTGATTTAAAGTTCCCAGGCATAATTTTATTTTTATGGTAGATCTATTTAACAAATGCTAGTTTCTTTCCGTTTGAAGTCTCTAGATTGGGGAGACTTGGGGGAGTCAGGACTGGTAAAGAATTGAGAAAATGGATTATAAAGATGAATTCAAAGACTATTTGCACACATATTTGTGAAAGCTTCACCAAATGCTTCTGTTTTAAATAGACCTCAACATGGGGTATTTTTTTTTATTATTTAAGGACTTTTGAGCATGAGGTTTTGCTTTTTAAGCAATTAATTCAAAATGGTGTGTTACTGATTCCGAGACGAACTTAGTTTATCTATATATTAATATTTATTTGATTTCTTCATGTTGCATATTATTCAGTTAGAGAAAGAATTTATAGCTTAGTTGGCCAAAGAAAGATTCCATCTTCAAAGATGCAAGATTTTATAGTTTTGCTGATTGAGATGTGATGGGATTTGACAAAGGAACCATGGAGACTTTGAAGCTTACTGATATCCTTAAACAATGTTTGCATCAAAATGTAATTTTCCCGAGACTTTGAAAGAACATACAGGTAATAGTCATGATTCAATCACTGGATTTTGCAAGGGAACATACACTATGGTTTGTTTGATGTTGACAGTGATTTGTGGGATTCTTGTGTAATTTTGATTTTTGAGTTGCTATGCACCTACTCATGAGATAACAGAGTCATTGTCAATATGGTTACTTTTAAAGAAAAATCATCAAATGTTGCTAATGAGTTGATATGCCTTCTTTGCATCCTCTTGTAGTTTCTTACCCTATCTGTTTTGCTTATTTGTCTAAAGAGACAGAGATCGTCATGGAAGGGGTGACTACTATTCTCCAAGGAGATCCAGATCACTATCAAGATCTCTCTCCCCTAGGGGTGACAGGTCAATGGATAGGAGGGCAAGGCGGTCCAGATCCATACCCCAGCCTGTTTCTCCACATGGTGACAGGAATGGTAAAACTCAAAGTCCAAGAACTAAAAGCCAGGCTCCCCATGCTGAGGATAATGCTCTGAAGCAGTCTGAGAGTCCAAGAGAGAATTCACGCGTTTGATCAGAGTCTCATATTAGATCCTACAGGTTTGTATGAAATTCTCTCCCTTTTGGTTAAATTAGACTTCAACCTTGCATGGGAAACCAGTTAATGTCAATGTTGGATGATCATATATATACCCATACGTATACAACATTTTGAAGAGGCTAGGAAACTATCACTCTTATTGAGTGATGCCATTTCTTTCGTGCTTTGATTGACAAGTTCAAAGGGCCATTGACACTGTTGCTGTGTTCTGTGCAGTTCTCTTTGACAGCTGTTTTATTCTGGTGATACCCCCTCGTAGCTTTTGCTGAAGTATATATGTGCTCTCTTATCTAGCTGGCATGTCTGAAGCTATGAAGCATTGTTGAGTTAATTTTGCTGTTATTTATGTTTTAATTTATACTCCTTATTTGTATACTTAAGAATACTTTTATGTGTCCTTGTGACTCGATTCAAGTGTTGAGTTAAAAGGCGAGATTGCAGTAACTTGTAGGGTTATTGTCATATTATATATTTACTGTTTTGAGCAAAAAAGTTAAAAAGAAGAAAAAAAAAATGAGTTGATATTACAGAGATGATCTCCATTGAAACTCATGTATTTCTTTCCAATCTCCTGTCCTTTTTCACAAACTGCATCCTAATGCTGTAAAAACTTATTTGGTAGTGAAGTGCAACATATTTGTCATATATGACTGACGTCAACAAGAAGTTTGTGTATTATGAATTGAACCTACAATTTAACGTCTGATTCAGAGGATATATGATGAAATTGAGGAGAGTGCAACGGAAATGACAATGCCCCAAATATGGCTCCAACTCCGGAGAATACACAAATGCACCCACAATTAGTCCTTGTCCTTGTACTTGACTTTATGCCATTTTAAGCAAATACAACCATATATTAGTTCAAAAGGACATCATTAAAGCACAAATTAACTCTAAATAACCCCATAGAGTAGAACATCTTTGGCACTTATTAAACAATTAGTATTTTTGATGCGCGATGCGCAAAAAATAGGTGCTCAATATTAATATATTATATTAAAATTTTAAATTTATTTAGATTTTAGATATTTAAATTTTATTCTAAATAATAATAATAATGTAAATCATTTTTATAAATTTGATATTTATATTTATAAAATAATTAACATATAACTCAAATATTTAATGTGTATATATTATTATTAATGAAGAAGATAAGAAAATATATGGTGGATGCATGCGCATGGTAACAATAATGGAAAAGATAACGGAAGTTATAACGGTAGGGGTATGTTTGTCCAAAATATTTTAATGTACAACCTTTATAGCATAATGTACAAAAAAACTTAACGGAAAAAACGGACATAAATCAGGGGTATAACTTTAATTCACACTTATTATGTTTTTAGATTGTAAATCTTAGCAAAAGCATCCTGCCAATTATCTGTTGGTCAATACACGAAGGATAATAGACGTTTGAGTTTGTTTCCCTTCAAATGGAAAAATTCAAATGGGTCTATAAATACCTTCATTCAAACCCAAATGAAGGGCTAGTCATTTTTAGAACAAAGTATACAAGTGCGAACAAGCAAGTTAATAAGAAAAGTAGAATAAAACTTTGAAGATGTTTGCTTTATCGCTTGTATCATATCACTCTTGACTTCTTCGTCAGATTCCCATGTTGATCTTTAAGTCTTCATGCCTTTTTATAGATAATCAAATGTATCCATTGGAGCGGAATAATTTGATTGAAGTCTTGAATTGGTACTTGTAGACTGATAAGTTGACAATTTGTTCTTCTCTTTCTGCTTGATTTTCAAGTTGCTTTTGACATATTGATCTTCTCCTTTGTCTTGATTTTCAAGTTGCTTTTGACAGATTGATCTTCTCCTTGGTCTTGATTTTCAAGTTGCTTCTGAGAGATTGATCTTTTTCCTTGCAACTTGGTATGTATCTTTAGGCCTTGTTGACTTTGTAGTTCCTTTCACACTTACACTTGACATGTAACCTCCTTGCATTTTCATAGAATTCTTTATTTGTAGTAGATGATCGTCTTTGAAAGACTACTTCATGATTCCTTTGGTGTTGAGATGTTGTTGTTGTACACTTGATGTAGCTTGGTCTTCTACTCTGTTTAATTTAGAGATTTTGATCTCTTCTCTAAAACATTCTCATATGACAGGGGTTGAAACTCTTCCAGGCCATTTCGGGTAGTTTATCCTTCCCTTTCTTAGCATTTTTTCCCTTGATTTTGAATAAGAATTTGGCATTTATAAAAGAAAGTCGTGTTCTTTGTGCCAATCTTCAGTCCCAATCCATCTGAGAGCAAAGTTTTCTTCTTCTTCTTCCATTGTGAGACCTATCTTGGAGAACATAGAATGATAATTATCCAATCTCCAAGTTCTCTATGATTTTACTAACGGATTTAGTTACATGCAGCGAAGAAGAGAAAACAAAGAGCTAAACAGAAACATAATGAATATCTTGTATTATGAAGAAGACGAGTCCTTTATATACATGCATACTTGACAGTTATAACTAACCCCAAGGGGGAAACGTCACAACTGCCCCTTCTACTATTTACTGCTATCATCCATATTGTCTTTCTCTTTATTCTCACATATGCTATCATCCAATACTCCTCCCCCCACCCCCTCCCGTAAATTGGAGCATGGAGATCCTCAATGCCCAGTTTAGAAATAAACAGTTGAAACATAGAGGTTGGCAGAGCTTTGGTGAGACCATCAGCAATTTGAGTGGAAGAAGGTACAACCAGCAACTTGATTAAACCTTGGCTAACTTTTTCCCGAACAATATGACAATTAATGTCTATATGCTTGGTTCTCTCATGAAAAACATGATTCTCGGCAATGGCGATGGCAAATTTGTTGTCACAGAAGACGACTGCGAGTTTGCATAACTGGATTTTCAAGTCTTTAAGAAGAGAGGTGATCCACTGCACCTCACATACAGTGGCGGCTAGAGCACGGTACTCAGCCTCGGATGATGAGCGAGATACTGTTGCTTGTTTCTTTGATCTCCATGAAATGAGAGATGATCCCAAGAAGACAAAAAAAATAGTAATAGAGCAGCGTGTTTCTGCACACGAAGTCCAGTCTGAATCGGAGAACACATTAAGTTGCATGGTGTTGTTCTTCAGGTAAAACATGCCTTGACTGGAATCTTTTCCAAGTTCTTTGTTAGATATGTTGAGGTATCAAGGCTTGTTAGATGGGTTCCTCACCATAAGGGTTGAGACATACCCGAGCTTGGTTAAGGAGTTTTATCATCACATGGTTGTGACTAAAGACGGTGGGAAGCTAGAAGTTACCTCTAAGGTGAGAGGCGTAAAAGTTGTTTTGTCTGATAAAAGACTCGCTCAACTCTTAAGTCTGACCGCTACGGGAGTTTCACAGTACAGTGGTAACTCTTGGGTTAGTACGGATACCATGGGGTACCGGGACTATTTGAGTTATCTGTTGGGTCGGACGAGTGAGTTCACTTAAGCCTCGAGACCGGAGAAGAAATGGTTGTCTGCCGAGCAGAGGATCTTGGTGATGCTTGTGTCGGATTGTTTGTTGCCCCATAACAACAAAAGTCGGTTGTTGGGAAAGCTAGAGTGTACCTTTGCCTTCTGTCTGAAGACCATGGTGAAGTTAAACCTGCCTGCCTTGATGTTGCAACACATGGTCTTATGCCGAGACCACAACCGGAAGAGCCTGCCATACGGGATGGTTTTGAGTTGGATTTTCGCCAAGAAAGGCGTGAGTGTTGAAGGTCGTGTGCCGAAGCCTGTAGGAAAGATGGTGTTGGATGCTATCAATTTGCGAAGCTGCAACTTGTTCCAGTTGGATGATGGTGAGTACATCACGCTTGAGGAAGTTGCTAGGAAAGCCCCCGAGGAGAGAGACGAGTTGGTGGTTGAGCTCGAGATTCCAGTCGGAAAGTTGAACCTCGCGGTTCAAAGTCTAGGAGGTGATGTGGGGGACGATGAAGAAGAAGGCCATGAAGAGGAGGACGCGGTCGTTGGAGCAGCTGCCGAGGTTGAGGAGAGTGACCCGGAGAGTGAGGAGAACCGGAGGAGGAGAGAAGCCCAAACCAAGAGAGAGCACGTTGCTATGACGCACGAAGAGTGCGTGGTCACCCTTCTACGCCAACAAAATAGGATGATAGAAGATGGCTTTGCTTTTATGAAGACGCAGTTCGTCGCAGTTCATCAGAGGTTGGATCAGATAGAGGCCAGCTCGAGCCGAAGAGGAGATGATGAGGAGTCCGATGAAGACACCGAAGAATCGGAGAGCGAGTCGTTCTAGCGCGGTTTTGTGGTAATCCCGTCTGCCTTTCCTTAGTTTGTTGTTATCTTTTTCGTTGTTGCTATCGTTTGCTTGTTGCTTTGTTGGTTGCTTTGTGTGTTCGTTCTTGTTTGCTTGTTGTGTCGAGTAGTTAGCTTTGTGGGTTGTGCTAGGAGTTAGTTGTTTAGACTTTGGTGTTGGTTAGAAGTTTGGTGGTTGTGTTTGGCTTAGTGTTCGTTATGCTCCAAGAACTCTATTGGTTATTTCTTTCAACGTCTCAATGCTATGACTCCCTGCTTGTTTTGGTACCTTTTGAATCCTTTAAGTTTTGACCAAAAGGATATTCTTGACACTCTTGTCACATTGTTGTTCCGTTTTACCATGTTGCTTTTAATTCGTCGTACCCAAGCTTCGGGGACGAAGCTTCTTTTAAGGGGGAGAGGATGTGACACCCCGTCAATCCGAATTCCATTTAAGGATTAATTAAGTAATTAATCCTAATCTAATTGGTAATTTATTCTTTAAATTCCTGAAAATTTAATAGTTGGGGACTAGTAATTGACTAGTCAACCCAAGTCAATGAGTTGTACTCTAAGCTTT